TCCCCAGGATCGGACACCCCCTTTTCAGGGGGGAGAGGATGGCATTTGCCTTGCAGGAAGATTTTCCCGGACTAACACCGACAAGCAGGCAGTGAGACCCAACGTGGAAAGTGTTCCGTAAACTGTGGGGCGCGCAGCCCCTCCGAGGTGGGAATTAGGGGTCACGCGTTTGGTCACTGTGCCGTGCCCCGGGACCCCTGTGACCTCGGATGTCAGCTGTGACTGGAATAACGTTAGGGAGAGGATGCAAGGAGAATCGGTGCATTAGCGGAAGCAACAGGACTTGGCCACCCCGGCCAGGGGACAAAGGACACAGGGGTGAGGGCACAGTGAGGGCACTGGTGCCCCGGGGGACCAAGAGGTGGCTGGACCTGCTCCTGGGGCTCCACTCAGGACACCCCACAGTGCCCGGGCAAAGGGGAACCCCCACTGGGACAGGGTCCAGGCGGGACCGCGGCCTGGTGCGGCTCACACCACATGAGTGACCCTGGTGGCCAGCCACGCCACTCAGAAGTCCTCTCTGGACTCAGAACCGGGACCATGCATGGCCGACGGCACTTCCGATTTCCGCTGGTTAATGACCTGTTTCAGGGGTTCGGGGGACCCCGCTAGCAGGTGGCCCCTCAAAGCAAAAGCTGGGACTCTCCCACACGCCTGCTTGGAAGGAAAAAGAAACACCTTTTGATAAAATCGATGGACGTGCCGGTCTGACCTTTGGAAATGGCGTGGCAAACCCCAGATGGAGGCCGAGGAGAGAAACCTCATTTCATCTCAGCCTTCTATTAATTTATAAAGCAAAACAGCAAGATTAACTCCCATTCAAATTGGCACCCACCCGGGGCTCTCGACAATGACATTCCATTAACAGTCCCCTTTCATTTTTCTGTTCAAGAATTTTCGTGGAAGCCGCGAGACTGGCGCTCTGGCCGGGGGAGGGTGGGGTAGCGTCGGAAAAGCAGTTTTTCTGCCCATTACAGAACACAGCGCGGCATCTCACAACATTTGTTATTTAAATCTCGTCACGGGCTGCAGGCCCGCAGCCGAGATAACACCAGGAACACATTTGTGAGTGGATTTAGGTCTGATTACAGCGCGGGATTGATAGGACTCGCTCTGAGTCGCTGGGCGGGGTGAGGGTGGGAGGGGTGGCGGGCACACGGCCCTGCGTTCCTCCAACCGGACGAGGGCGGCCGAGGAGGCGCGGCTGCCCGGCCGAGTGCCCGAGAGGGAATTGCATACACGTCCCTCCGGTTTTCTAGCAAACCCTGCCTTGCTGGGCACCTGCGGAGCAAGTAGAGGGACACCGTGAGTCTGAAGCCACTCCCGACAGCGGCTTCACACGACCAGGGTCCGAGTCCCCGGCGTGGTGCTGAGAGACGACCTGAGAGAGGGAGGAAAAGTGACCCTGGAATGAATTCCACAGAGACGGCGTCACTCGGGAGGGTGGGTTTACTCGGTGCTCTGGTAAGTTCAGGCAGGGCAGCCAGTGTGGCTGGGCGGGCTGTGCTCCGCCCAAGGGCCGGAGCAAAAAGAAATAACATTTATTTATTTATTTATCTTTAATGGGGAAGGGAAGGAGAGAGGGAGAGAAATATCAACGTATGGCTGCCTCTCGTGCGTCCCCCGCTGGGAACTGGCCTGCAACCCAGGCCTGTGACCTGACTGGGAATCGAACAGCGATCCTTTGGTTCACAGGCCCGCCCTCAATCCACTGAGATACACCAGCCAGGGCTATGAAATTTCTTTATAAAGAAATTTATAAAGACCTGATACAACCCAACACCAAAAAACCCAAACGACCCAATTAAAAAACTGGCAGAGGACCCGGACAGGCACTTCTCCCATGAGGACACACGAAGGGCCCACAGACGTGTGAAAAGACGCTCAGAGTCACCAGTCCTGAGAGAGGTGCAGGTGAAAACCACAACGAGACGTCACCTCGCACGTGTCGGAATGGCCGCCATCAACCAGCCCACAAACAACAGGTGCGGGCGGGGACGTGGAGAAGAGGGCCCCGGTGCACCGCAGGGGGGACTGTGGATCAAAGATGGGACTTCCTCGTGGCGGATCAGTTCCACTTCTCTGTGTCTCAGGAAAAACCCCAAACTCCCGTTTGAAAGAACATCCGCACCTCCGTGCTCTTCCTGACAGCGTTTCCACGGTCGCCAAGATTCAGAAGCAGCGCCCGCCCCCCGTCTAATAATGAGAGGTGACTTTTTCTTATCTACACGTCGTCCAGCTCCGCCCCCCCACAAAGCGATACGCTATTTAAAATGAGGACATGGCTTTTATTTCCCAAGGAATCAAAATCACGGAGAGGAGACACCGGGGGCACCCGGGGCCATCGCCGAATCCACCCCTTCCTTCCTTTATGGGTGGGAAACCCAATTTCGGAGAATGTCAACCATGACACTAAGGACCCGATGACGCTCCCGTTTTCCTGACCCTTGACCTGGTGGCAGGCGGTGGGCCGGCATCTCTTCTCGGGCACAGACAGGGCCACCCTGAAAACATGACCGTGGAGTCCAAACAGCCACAGGTGAGTCACGGGTTTGCTTCAGGGACAGAATTCTGTGCCGGTTGGCAGGAGGGAGGGCTATTTCGAAACTTAACGCCCAAGTTAATCTTCACCTGCGGTGAGGACACTCTTCCTCTGCTCACGTGGTTATTTGTCAACTGGGTGAGCAGTTTTCGATTGCTCCAGACCGTCAGAGCCGCCTCAAAATGCGCCTCCAAAGTTATGGCTGTAAAACGCTCTGTTTGGGGAAGGAGCCTGGTGAACATGGGAGGACGTTGCTGAAAAACCAGTGACCTGTTTTTTTTCCTGTTGTCTCCTTAAAACCAGTATTCTCCGGCCCCCGTCAGAGGAGAGGCCCCCGGCACTCGGACACGCCCGCCTCTCACCCCAGAGAAACTGTAAGTCCTCCATCACCCACAGACCCGCACGCCACCCCGGCATCTCCCGGACGCCACGGGCCTCTCGGCACACATCCTGCTGCTGCTCGGACGTCAGCAGCGGCAAAACAGGCGGAAAAGCAGCCTCAACGTGAGGAGAATAGGCGGCTCCGGTGATTTTGTCCTTTGCTAAGGACAATCGTGGTGGGGTTCCCTGGCAGGAGAGACCAGAGAGAGCGTGTGGCTTGTCCCTCAGAAGCGCTCAGGTCCCGGCTGAGATGCAGGCTGCGTGAGGAAGGCCGTGGGTGGATGGAGGATGGAGGGTGGCGCCCCGGGAAGCAGCCAGAAACTTGTCCGGCCGGGAGTCCAGGGGCCACGCAAGGCTGCCCGGTGGCTGGCACGCGGGGAGGAGGACCCCGGGGAACAGAGTCCCCACCAGCTCAGGAGCCCCTGGCAGACCTGCAGCCGGGGGAGGGAGGGCACGTGCCGGTGTCCAGGGCTCCTGGGCCGCCTGCTACTGGCTCAGTGACTCACAACAACCAAAACGCATCCCCAGCGATTCTGCCGGTCGGAAGTCCTGGATCAAGGCGTCAGCTGGGCTGCGCCCTCTCTGAAGGTCTGGGGCACCCCCGTCCTCGCCTCGCCCCCAGATTCGGAGGGCGGCTGGCAGCCCTTTGCAGTCCTTGGCTTGTGGGCCCATTCCTCCAGCCCCTGCCGCCGTCCAGTCTTGCCACCAGTCACGGGGGTTAGAGCCTCATCTCAACCGCAGGCACAAAGGCCCCACGTCCACACCAGGTCGCACTCCTAGCCCTGGGGGTGGGGGTGGGGGACAGGAGGGTGGGGTGGCACAGGAGTGGGGGTTAGGCCATCCACATGTCTTCTTGGGGGGACACGATCCAAGCCACTGCAGAAGACCTGGTCTCCCCCTGCTCTGTCCAATCCCAGCTCACACCTGCCCTGGCTAAACCACGGGAGAGGCCAGAATCCGACAGCCCTCTCTGGCTATGTAATTTGCATGGGGCGAGGGAGGCTCCAGGGACCTCTCGGCCCGTGGTAATAAATCTCCGGGACACCCCAGAAAGGCGAGGGTTCACATCACCCTTTTGCAGGCTGCAGAACCAGTAGCAACCTCTCCTCCAAACAGCCCGGGGTCGGCCGCTGTACTTTAAGTTTGATTTTACAGAGAGATACAGATGCCTTCTAGAAATTTTAACACTATATATAAGAATCTCCCCCACCAAGTTCCCACCGTGCCTCAGGGACCATGATTTCATCTTAAACGTGCAAAGGAGAAAAAGCCAAATTGTGGCAAAGCTTCAAAAGTCCAGGAAAATCCCACCGAGTCTCGGAAATTCGATCGGGAGCGAGGTCGGCCAGCCCTGGGCAGAGGGCCTCCGGCTCCCCCTGCCTTCCCCAGACACGCACGACACTTAGTTTTTTACTCAAAGACAAGCTCTAGGAGGAACACGGAGGCGCAGGCAGACACGGTGCCGCTCCTCCCTGCTTGCCCGAGTCGCCGGCCTTCACGGTGGCATCTCGTGACCTGGTCTTGGCTTAGGGAGTGGCTGCCTGCGTGCTGTCCCCAGAGCGGAGGCCCCCGAGGGCCAGAGTTGGCCGCTTGCTGCTGATTTCTGAGGACTGCCCGGGGGGAACGCCGCGGTGCCTGTGAGTCGTCTGGGCATTCGCCCCGCGCTTCTCCTGCACCCGTCCCCAGCTCCCCCGAAGTCCGAGGGGATCCTATGTTGCACTGGGCCCCTGAGCTCTTGGGGTTGTTTGTTACAGCAGCAAAAGCAGACCCCTCCTGACTAATGTGCAAGGTAACCTAGTTTCCTTATTAAAAAAAACTGGGACAGACTTGGAGAAGGAAAAGGAAATAATCTAAATAATCACAGGACACGGCAAACGCCATGAAGCCTGAAATAACCGAAAGTTGAGAAAGGCTGGACCAGTGCAACGCAGCACCTTCCCGGGCCCGGGGGAAGATGGGAAAGTTTTCATGCCAACACCCCATAAAAAAGTCACCGCGGACATCCTAGGGGACGACAGGAAGGACACGAGGACACCGTCACTGAATGCTGGCACACCCACGACCCCCCGAGACTTACCATGGCTAAGGGCACGATGCCAACCAGGTCCTTCTGGCTGATGAAGATCTCAGACGCGGCGACGTCCGTGGTTCCCTTGCGTGGGTACTCGACCTGCCAGGTGATAGGCTGTGTCCCCGACAGGCTGCTGAAGCTGGCGATCTCGAAGTTCATCTGCACCACCTCACGGAACAAAACGCTGCCTCTGCAAGAGAAGGTAGCTGGGTGCTCACCCTGCTCAGCGGGAGAGCCTTCCACCCGCAGGCCCTGCTGCTCACCGCCGTGACTGCAACATGTGGGCGCAGGGCACCCCTGTCAGGGACAGCACCTGCACCCGGCACCAACCGCGAGACAGCAGTGCCCCGGCAGCGGGGGGAGCAGCACCCACAGATCGAGGGTCTGGGCACAGTCTTCAGCGCTGAGCCCCGAGTACGTGCTGACAAGTCTCTCGAACGGACTCCTGCCCGCTCTTCAGGCTGTGAGCTGACTCGGTCGCCCGCGATGCGCGAGCCCGGCTGACCTCTGAACTAACCGGATGCGCTTCCACTGCAGTTTCGGGCAGCGAGGCAGATGCGCGGGCGGCCCCTCCCTGGCTCACCCTGGAGGGGCTCAGGGCACAAAATGACACGTCTGGGCTGGAGCTGGGGAGGGAGTCAGGGTCCCCGGGTCCCCCCGGGAAGCCCCGGTGGCACTTCCCGCGTCCCAGCCCCGATGCTCACGCCCCGAGTGACGGGTGCCTGGTGCCACGGCCCCTGCAGAGCTGGCCGTGGCGCTGGTCTGCGGTTCACCCGAGGCAGCCCGGTCCCTGGCTGGGCCATACGTACATCCAGTCCGCCGGCTCCGCCCCAGAACCGCCTGGTAGCTCTTGATGAAACCTCTTCTGTTTCAAGGGGCTCTTTGCAAAGGGGACTCTGTTGCCTGCCATTAAGAATTCTGACCAACACCCTCGGTTTAAGGTGGGCCAAACACATGGGTTTCCAGCAAGCTTTCCTCCGAAACCCTGCGACTCTGGGAACTGCTCAGGGTCCAAATGTCTCAACTGTTTTGGGTGGTGGTGCTCAGGCCCAGACCGGGGTTGGGGTGGCTGCTCGGAGCCACAGAGCCGCCGGGTGGTGAAGGCGAGCTGAGGGCGGCACTTCCCAGCGCCCGGCCCTGTGCTCTCGGCCCTCTCCTCCATGACCGCGGGTGGTCAATCCTGAGACCCCGAGACCCCTGGCGAGCTCCCTGGATGGGGCCTTGGGGGCCACATCCAGCTGGCTGCTTGTGTCTGCAAACAGGGTGGGGGGACCTGGTCCCACCCACCTGCCAGCGCTCAGTCTGGGCCGCTGTCCTATTCTGAGGACCTGGGTGAGTGACTGTGCCGGGCGATGGACCATCTGAAGTGTTGATGACATGGGCCGGCTCGTGCAGGGGCCAGAGAAGGCGCCGCTGAGGACGCTTTGCGGAGTTGCCGACTCAGAAGAACCGGCACTGGCGCCAACAGGGAGGGAGGGCTTCCCAGCACAGGGCAGGGGTCGTGGGGTGGACCTGAAGCCCAGGCCCCACCCGGGTGCTAAGTGGGGTTGCAGGGGTGGGTGAGCGGCCCCCACGTCTCCGCGGACACCCACCGGGAAGGCTGCTGTGTGCACGGAAATGTAGGGCCTTCCCCGTAGCATGTAAAGAGAGAGACACCATATGTACCTAAACACCGTGTCCCAAGTGTGTGCCGCTGCCACTGCCGTGATGCGTGGCAGAGAAACCCCTCCCTCTGCCGGAGCGCGACCACTGAAGCAGGTGCCCACGCAGCCTCCGGGGCTTCCTCGACAGCCAGGAGCGGGAGGTGACGGGAGAGTCACCTCACCCGCCGAGCCCCGGGACCCATGCATCTTGCCGGTGTCCTCTGGGCTGGGAGTGCAGCCCAGAGAAGCGTGATTTACGGGGTGCCGGGCGCTCCTCTGGGGGAAATGCATCCAGCACAAGCTCGAGAGAGAACAGTTTGCCTCGGAAAGTGAGGGGGGGGGCGTCCGGACCATCTGCCTCCTTCTCTCCACTTGCAAAGCGGGGACACCAGAGTGGAAACGAGGAGGCAAAGTCTCACGCACTGAGGACAGAGCCTGGCCCTGGGAAAGGCCCACAGGTCAACTCCGCGTGTCTCCAGCAGGTCTTGCCCTACCTTGTTCTTCGCCCTCCGGGGCTGTAGGTCTGGCTGCCTAAAGCCACCTTCAAAACATGGCCCTCTGGGGCCGGGCCAGCCGCTCCCCTCCCTGCACACGAGCCTTGGGAGGGGTGCGGACTCTGCTGTCCCCTGTGGGACTCATTCGGGGCTGTCACTCTACAGCTGTCCCTGGCAGACACGCCGCCGCAGCACAATGAAGGCACAGTGCGGGCAGATGGGGACGGAGAAGAGAGGCGTGTGTCCGCGGCTCCGTCGGTGGGCAGGGTCCCCCACTCTCTCTGAGCCTCCGGCGGGAAGGGACCAGGGGCTCTTCCCACCCGGCGCCGTGAAGCTGGGGTGAAAGAGGGAGGAATTTAAACCCTCGAGTCTAAACTCTGGAGAACCGCTCAGGACTACCACTTGCTAAATCAATAGTGTAGACTTATTGCAGTAAAAATATTTTTTCAAAAGTGTCTAAAGAAAAAGGGCTCTTACTCCAGAGCAAATAAATTCTGCCAAGAACCACGATAAAATCTGAAGCTCTGGGAGCCCCGGCTCCCCGAACGTCTTAGCTGTCGGACTTTATCCTGTAAATAAAGGGAGTCTGGGGGTGTGTTGAGAAGGCAGGAGGGCCGCCCCACCCCCCGCCGAGGCACGTCAGGGGGTTCGGGTCAAAAGCCACCACCCACAACCGACTGCTTCACGCCTGTGGACAGAAGTGGGGCTCACAAAAACGGAGAAAACCCCCCATGAGGGGGAGGCCGCTCCAGGGGGACGGAACCGTGGGGGCCAGGCGTGGTTTTATTCCTCCTACTTCCAGTTTATTTCACGAAGCAGAGGACACATAGGTGTGTCTGGGAAGGGTTTCTTCCGACCCACCCCCCCCCAGGGGACACGCAGGTCCCCAGGATGCTCTGGCTCACCCAGAGCTGTCCGTGGTGCTGAAGCGAATCTGCCCCGCAAGTGATCAGCAACAGTTACCTCCCCTTGCTGTGATGCCAGGCGGAATTGAACAGAAGCCTCCACACTCCGGGGGGAAGGAGGCGGAGCATAGGTCAGAGTCAGGGGGAATCTCAATGACGAAAACCAGGGGCAGAAGTGGCGATGGACAGGACACCCCGGCGGATACCAGAGCGAATTTTCCACCGTCCCTGACGCGGGAAGTGGCGCTATTGGTAGGTGGGGAGAAAGTTGGCGGAAGCCTCCAGTCCTGCTAGCCCCCCCCCCCGCCGTGTGCACGCCCCGGCCACACCCCCAGAGGCCCCTCGGCCCCTCCACTTTCCACGCCGGCCAAGGTTTGCTGCAGCAAGCCTGGGGCTTCCTGGGACCTCCCGTGCCAGGGGGCGTGTGGTCTCCATTCTCAAGGAGCTGACATTTTAGCTGAGTTCTGTCACACTTGAGGAAGTACAGTTGCCAAAGGACCTTCACTGTCTGGGTGGAGGGGGTGTGGCCCCAGACACCGCTCAGCGGGGGCTCTGTGTCCACAGGGGTGGCCCCCCAGCACGGCCTTGGTGGTCGCCACAGCAGGGGAAGCACTGAGCCCACCCTTCAGATACAACTGGCCAGGAAGACACTCCCAGGAAGACCACGTGGGGAGAGAGAGGACTGTCCATCCCAGCCCCACGCTATTGGACCAGATCAATTTAGCTCCACACGGGAGCCTGGAGAAAACCAGTGGGGAAATCGCCCTGCTTCTTGTGAGAAATCATAGTTGTTGGAAGGCAGCAAGCTTTGGACAGTTGGTCAGGCAGCAACAGGTGACTCACGAAGGCTCTGGTCAACACGGCTCGCTGCCTGAGTCCTGAGGGGTCCCAGGGCCCCTGTTGACTTTGCCGGGATGTGGCAATCGGCTGGGGTGCTGGAGCACGGGGTTCCCAGGGCCTGCCCCCATCTCCTCCCTGCCCTCGGGGCCTGAGTTTGGAGGGAGAGCAGTGGGAGGTCCACCCCATCCCAGGCCAGCTGAGAGACAACTGAGACACACCCTGGCCTGGCCTCCCACAACGGCGGTCAGGGGGTGGGGCACCGGGCACGTCAGGGACTGCCCCTCAGAGACTGGGTAGGGACCCGGAGACCTCCCAGACCTCGGTGCTGACCAACGACCGGACAGCACCCTACCCCCTGTGGACGAGGTGGTGGAGAGCAGGGTGTCTGAGCACCACGGGTCTCCCTCCTCTGGCGCCATGACAACCCTTCCCACCAGATCCACCTCGTGGACAATCGGGCCGAGCTGCGGACTCCGAGTGGACCGTGTTCCAGCCTGAAATACCTTCGTGAATTTGGAATCTGCATTCACTCACTGGCCTTGTGGCTCCCAGAGCAAGGCAGGTAGAACGACAGAAGAATGGTGTTGTGTCTACTGGTTTTTTTTTTCCTCCTCGAACCCGCAACCCTTTGGTGTCTGGAACAGCACTCGAACCCACTGGACCTCCTGGCCAGGGCATGTACCTCCTTGCGCACCAGGGCTCCTGGACGGCGCCAACACCCGCTGCGGAAGTGGAACTGGTGCGGCACCTCTACGAGCGACTGCCCGGGGCCACCTCCCGAGTCCTCACAACACAATGTCCCTTCCCCGGAACATAACGTCCTCTCTACCGTCTTCTCTCCAGTTGGCTCCACTCTGGCAGCCCTGGGGGGACGCAGAGACCCCCGCTTCCTGGGCCTTGGGGCCTTGGATCCCGCCCCTCCCCAGACAGCCCCGAGGCCCCCGTCCCAGCATCCGCCTGGTTACCCTCGGCTCAGCTGCCGCTTTATCGGTATCAGCACACAGCACATTACGCACTCGTCAGCACCGGGTTCAGCACCCGCCTCCCCCTTCTCGAAAGCGAGCACCACGAGAGCGAACACAGCGTTTTTTGTTCACCGTCAGACCCTCGTGAGGCGCCGACTCCTGGGAGGGGCTCGGAGCGTGTGTGCGGGATGAATAATGAATGAGTGATCGCTCCCGGACCAGTTCCTGATACGCGCACGCCGCTCTCCCGCCTGGAGTCAGGGTCCCATTAATCTCCCCGCAGGAGGGAGAAGCGGTCGGTGCCCAGCCCCAGACGCGGGCGGGCGCGTCCTTCGGAGCTATC